TTCATTCATTTATAGTATCAATTTACTGAGTTTAAACAACAATTGTTCAACTGCTTTCTTCGGCAGAAAAGATCAAAGTACAAATCATTTAACACAAGTACACATTATTTCAGAAAACTTTTGTTTCAGCTATGTGTCTGGATTGAGTTGCAATATAAGATTTTATCTTACTGTGGGTTAGAGTCAAAAAAGTTTGAAAGCCACTGCCTAGAGAATCTATTGCACATGTGCAACAAAAGACTTTTAGAACATTCAGAGCAACATTTAATAGCAAAAAATTAGAAAACATACCTCATGTTCACCCTCAAAAGAATGATAATTTCATTCTAATTCGTTCATGCGATGAAACCCTACAGCAGTGAAAATCAATGAACTAGACCTACAGGTACCATGGATGCCTCAGAGAAACACACTTGATGAAGAAAGCCACATAAGAATGTACATGGTATGATGATATATTTTATACAGATGAAAAACAAGCATGATTATATCACGTTTATACAAATGTATATCCCTGAATAAAGATACAAACATTTCTGTTAAATCTATAAAGAACCTATTTTGGAGGAATTAAAAAAATAAACCAACTGAAAAAAAAAAAAAAGAAGAAAAAGAAAAATAACAAACACAAAAACTTCCAGATTATGGTTACCTACTGAGTGAAGATAGAAGAGCATGTAAAATACTTCAACGGTTTTGCTAATATTCTTACGTGGTAAATTCACAGTTGTTTATTACAACACTTCTTAACATATATTAGGTTAATTATATGAATTTGCAATTTTTGTAAGCTAAAAATGGTCAAGCATAAGCAATTTCATATGCTTCAAATATTTAATACATTCTTTGAAATGTATCAAATATTTCACTTAAGAAAATCCTGAAAACAACATTTATTTACAGGATATTTCTTGCTTTATTCAGGGTTTTAGAGTCATGTAGAGAAATTATGAAGACCTTACATTTGCAGCCAAAATATGTTAAGATTTAAAGATAGTTTAAATTTTTATTATGGAAAACCTCAAATGTATACTGAACTAAACAGAAGATAATAATGAAGTCCTAGTCTATCAACTAGCCTCAAAAATCATCAGGTTATAGCCTAGCTTTTTCACCTCTTTTCTCATCCCACCCTCTGCTGGCCCAGTAAGCAAGTCACAGACAATATATAATTGCATCTATAAAAATTTTCAGAAAGAAGCCCTTTTTTATAAACATAATAAGCCTATCACTTCTTTTTTTTTCCCTTTTTGTCTTTTTTACTGACCGGTAATGGGATCGCAACCCTCGGTGTCGCACCCGTACCGGAGACCCGCAACGGGATCGCAACCCTCGGTGTTGCGCCAGCACCGCGCTCAGCCAGTGAGTGGGAACTGGTCTCCACATGGGATCCGAACCCTTGGCGGG